CGATATACATTGTCATAAGGTGTATGTTTTCTGGTTGGTAATTTTGTGATCGTTGAGTATCTTGAAAAAATGTGTTGTTTGGATGATGATTGTTTATTTAAATAAGTTTCAATCTGCGCTTTTTGACTCGTTGTCAAATTCACTCGACCTTCGAGAAACGAGCGCAAGTCATCATCGGAAAATAATATTCTATCTTGGTCTTCTGTACGATTAAAATCTTTCGGATCAGATAGAGATGTCTTTGTTAAGTAAGGGTGCGTTTGTGTATCTCGACTCTGGTAATCAGAGTACATGTCACTAGATGTTTGTATTTCATATGGTAACTTTGTGCTTGTCGAATTTGTCGAAAAAAGACCTTGGCTAGATGATGATTGTTTATTTAGATAAACTTCAATCTGCGCTTTTTGATTCGTTGATAAATTAACTCGACCTTCTAGGAACGATCGCAAGTCATCGTCGGAAAATAATATATCTTTTATATCTGCAGTATGATTAAATTCTTTCGAATGAGACAGTGGTCTCTTTGTAAAATAGCTTTCAGGCTGTGTATCATTGCTTTCATAATCAGGTTTAATGTTGTTATCAAAGATGTATTTTCTGCTTGCTGATGTTGTACTCGTTGAATATGTCGAAGAGTCACTGCTAGTGGTTGATGATTGTTTATTTAAATAAGCTTGAATCTTCGCTTTTTCACTCGTTGGCAAGTTCGCTCGACCTTCAAGGAACGCTCGTAAATCATCATCAGAGAATAATACTTCTCCGCTATCTATTGTACGATTTAAATCTTTTGAATTCGATAGTAATGTCTTTGTTACATAAGTTTGCCACTGCGTACTTTTTCTTTCATAGTCACGATATACGTTGTCATCAGTTGTAGATTTTCTTGATGGTAGTTTTGTGCTCATAAAATATTTCGAAGAAGTACTTCGATTAGATAATGATTGTTTACTTAAATAAGCCTTAATCTGTGCTTTTTGACTATTGGACAAATTCGCCCGACCTTCTAGGAATGATCGCAAATCATCATCCGAGAATGATATTTCTTTATTATAGAGAGTACGATTGAAATCTACCGAATCATAATCTGGCAACTGTATGTCTTCATTTTCATAGTCAGAATATATGCTGTCATCAGCAGTATATTTTGTGACGGGTACTTTTGTGCTCGTTAAAGTTTTCGAAGAGGTACTTCGACTGGATGATGATTGTTTATTCAGATAAACTTCAATCTGCCCTTTTTGACTCGTTGTCAAATTCACTCGACCTTCTAGAAATGATCGTAAATCATCATCCGAAAATAATATCTCTTCTTTGTGTATAGTGCGATTGAAATCTTTCCAATCAGATAATGGTATCTTAGTTACATAACTTTGCGACTGAGTGTTTTCACTTTGATTATCACGATATACATTGTCATAAGGTGTATGTTCTCTGGTTAGTAA